AATCACATGGTTTGTAATAATTTGTAAACAACTCTGGGGATGAATAGTGAAAAGGGAAGGGGTGACTATGCATGTTTTAGCTATCAAAAGGGGTAGAAAACATGTTATTAGGTTTATATTCCTACTTGCGCAATAGAAACCATGCTTAGGACTCATTTCATGCATTAGAGATCATGTTTCCTAGGACTTACGCTTACTATTTTCAGCATGTCCATTTCACTGTCACATCACTTATAAAATCCTGCATTAATTATGTTAATAACCGGAGTGTTTGCGATCATGTTCCTACTGCCACGCACACTTAGAGATCCTGTTTTAGGATAAACAACACTAACAAACATATCATTTCTGCATATTCTGGAAATCATGTTTAAACGCTGTAATATTTGTGCATATAGAAATCATGCTTAGGATTCTGCATCATTCTGCAACTTTGTACATTAGATACCATGTCTTTAGGATTTCATTTACATTTTCTTAGGCTAGCTATGAATGCATAAAAAGGAATAAAATAATTTTACTCAGTTTTTACAATCAACTGGCAATAATTCTATGTGTTGAACACCTAGAACATCACGTTTTAGGTAATAAAAATAATCTTCATACCGTCTTAATGATTCGGAACCAATACTGCATTGTTTTATGCCTAGGCAAGCCTTAGGTAATAACCTGAATAAAACTGGAACTACCTTTGTTTAATTATTAACTATTACAACCAGCAGGCAGGCCTGATTCGGACTTCTTATCTTAGTCATGTAATAAATTTGGTTATGCTTCAACAACTTAAACACCCTGCTTTAGGATTTTTAAATTCATACCTTAACTGTGTATGAGTCATGCTATTTATGTGCATTCTTTGTGGAGGTATAATTGAGCCTTCCTAGAACCCCCTCCTTATAGGAATAGTAGTCCTAAATTCCTCTGGGACTGATAGGAAAGGACAGGTAACGACATGCAATAAGAGTTGAGACCAATCTTCGCTTAATTACCTTTACGGGGCGGGAAAGGGTATATATGGATATGATGACCAGTGTGCTAATATCACATGTAGCCCCTCTTTTGAGGAGTATCATATCGGGTGTTGAATTGATGTGATCCATGTTACAGACAAACCTAGGACACCCCTTTACATTCATAAGCATACTTTAGATTGTAACTCTTTTCAAAATTTCGTCTTTCAATAATTGTTTCCAAACTCTTGTGTATCTTGACTTAAATCCCCTATTATTTGAGCCCTACTTGTCTATTTGCTAATTGCACAAATTCACAAAAAAATTGCCTGGACGGGAACCACACTAGTGGATCCTGATGGGTGCCTAACACCTTCCTTTAGAATAATTCAAGCTCTTACCCTATCTCTGGTTAGTAAACGTAGTTGTAGATGAACCCTATAGGTGCCCTAACGCACCTTAAAAAATCATTAGGTGACGACTCTTCAAGATTGCAAACCTCTTCCCAAAAGGAAAAGAGTTGTCCCATGTCCCAAAGTGTCATGAACCTGATTTCCGTGGAGGAAAAAGGGGGCGCGACAGGTATTTGATCGGTAGTAGTTGTGCGGGTCGTTGCGGTGGAAACTCAAGGTAAACCTGCTACAGTAATGTTCACAGGCCTCAGAGTCACCTTCATTTGTACTTATTTCCATTTGTTCCTTTTTGTTTTGGAACAGTGATGTATTTATTTTGTATAACTATTATTAGAAAGGCTTGTGACTTGTACCACCAATTTTGGGAATTGTAATTTGTTCAGAGTAATTTAATTTAAAGTTAGTAAATATCAACGTTATTTCAGTTTATGTTAGGCTTACCTAGTTTAGAGACTAGCTGCCATCACGACTCCTTCGGAGGGATTTTTGGGTCTTGACAGGATTACTTCTTGGACTGCTAAGACTCTATCATATGCAGGAAGAGTTCAGTTAGTCCAAAGTGTACTGTTTGGGATTCAGGCTTTTTGGGCACAACTGTTTATCCTACCAACAAAGGTGATTAAATTGATAGAGGGGATATGTAGGTCTTATGTCTGGTCTGGGGCAAATGAGATTACAAAGAAGGCTTTGATAGTCTGGGATAAAGTTTGTTTACCCAAGGGAGGAGGTGGACTTAATATAGTTAATCTGAAATTGTAGAACAAGGGCTATTGCAAAAACCTACTGGGATCTAGCTCATAAACAAGACAAGTTGTGGATCCACTGGATTCATACTTACTATATCAAGAATCAGCAAATGAGTACAATGTCAATATCGCAGCAAGCATGTTGGATGGTAAGGAAAGTAATTGAGGCACATACTGTACTGGAAGCTAGGCAGTTTTTACCAAACCAGGAAAAAAAAGCATAATCAGACAAATATACCTTCATTTGCTTGGTGACTACAGAAGGATGGAATGGAAGTCATTGATGTTTCACAATGCAGCAAGGCCAAAGGCAAAGTTTATAATGTGGCTCATGATACAGGGAAGACTGATAGCATCTGACAAGCTAGCAAACTGGAAGATTAATGTTGATACAGAATGTGTAATGTGCAAAAAAGAAGTGGAAACGAGAGATCATTTGTTTGGGCAATGTGAATATATTACTCAAGTATGGAGTAAAATGTGTAGTTAGCTTAGTAGGCAATTTCTGGGAGTTGGCAATTGGCAGCAGTTCCTAAAATGGTCAATTTCTGAAGCTAAAGGGAAAACTCAACATGTGCAGGTGTTTAGAGTGTATATGCAGAAGTAGCTTACCACATATGGATAGAGAGAAGTAGACGTATTTTTGAGAAGAAAAACAGAATATGGGAGCAGATTTCAAAGGAAATAGCCTACATAGTTAGTGTTAGAGTCACTCCTAGAAACAAACCTTTTGTGTATAGCCTATGTTTCTAGGTAGTATAGTAAGATGAGTATAGAGAAGAATAGCAAGTTGTGCTAACTATGCTATAGCTTTGTAATTGCTACTTGGTGATTAATAAAATAATTTAGTTACCAAAAAAAATTAAGGATATTTTAGCCATTTTAATAAAAGAACAACTTATCAACACTTTTTTACCAAACACATCAACTGCTTATTATCAGTTTCAGCATTGTCTATCCAAACACGTAAATGCTTATTCAAAAAATCAGTTTCAGCACTTAAAAATACTTTTCAGTACTTTAAGCTTATCAGCTATTTACAGTCAGCTAATTCAAACGGGCTCTAAATTAGTGACATACAAATCGCATTTGGACAGTATGTGCACATGTTTTGAATGGGAGAAATTCAAAAATAGCCAGATTTACAAGTGGTCATTCAAAAATAGCCACGCTTGCAAAAGTAATCGAAATTTTGCCACTTTTCATGTAAAAATAAATCTGAGCGAAAACACTGTTCAAAATCCGGAAAATACGCCAGTATATTATGCTGGAGTTCCAGCATAAGTATACTTGAACTCCAGGATATTATACTGGAGTTCCAGGATAAGTATACTGGAGTTCCAGGATAAGTATACTGGAACTCCAGCATAATATAATGGAGTTCCAGCATAAGTATACTATAACTCCAGCATAATATACTGGAGTTCCGGCAAAGTATATCGGTCCGGTATAATATGCTGGAAGTTCATACACAAGTGCTCGAATCTCCAGTATATTATGCTGGAACTTTCCGTATGTTGGAGTTCTTGCATAATATGCTGGAAGTTCATACACAAGTGCTCGAATCTCCAGTATATTATGCTGGAACTTTCCGTATGTTGGAGTTCTTGCATAATATGCTGGAAGTTCATATACAGGTGCACCGAACTCCAGTATTTTATGCTGGACCGGTCTCTATTGCAGCAAAATAGTGACTATTTTTCAATAACTTGGCAAACGCTAGTTATTTTTGAATGACCAGTCCGAAAATTGGCCAGCCCGTGCTATTTCTACGTTTTGAATAGTTAATGGACTATTAATTCTCTAGGTTAAACATAAGTGATGACTTTGATCCAATGCTGACCTTTTGCCATTTAATAGAGGAATCGTAATAAAGTAGGCGATTTAAAAGTCGATACATGTGATTTATAAGTTGCAATTTATCGGTCGCGTTCCTAAATGCAATTTATGAGTCGCATTTAGAAATATACTAATAATTCGTGTTCATAAAATTTGATTTATACCTCATTAAATGTGATTTATTAGTCGCATTTTTATGTCTCATCCAATTTCTCCTATTAAATTGTCCTTTTGCTTCTGTATTCGGTTTAGTTTAACACTTTTAACTCTTTGAATGTTGCTTTCATAAACTATTTTTCCCTTCTTTTTTTCTTTAATTCTTTTTTTTTCTTCTGTGTGAGAAACGCTCATGAGGTTCATAGTATTATATAAATAAAAAATATTTTACCCGATTATACAATGTAATTTGCCGAAGGGGTGTCAATTGAGACCCCTTAAATACATGTGGCTACGCTACTACGAAGGAGTACCCAACATATGATAAGGACATTATTTATGTAGGATGTTAGTTTAATGGAGTCGACAACTATGTCTCAATCCCAAGTTAGTATGACCGGCATATTTTGTAGTTTCTTAAAATTTAAAAGCAACGGGAACTCAAAGGTTAATTTTTCAAATGGTCATTTAAATTATGGTTATTTTTACAAATGTCACTAAACTAACTTTTGTCACTTTAAATTATATAGCTTATTACTCTTCCGAGGGAGGAGGATATTAGCAAAAACAAGAAAAAAAATCAGACCTATTAGGACTTGAAAAAAATTCTCAAGTGTTATATGATTTATTCTCATCCGTCTAACCCTTGGTAGGTAATCTCCGTTATCCAACAACAACAACAAATACAGTGTAATCCCACAAACGGGTCTGGAGAGGATAGTGTGTACGCAGACTTTAACCCCACCTTAAAGGTCGAGAGGCTATTTCCGATAGACAGGTAATCTCCGTTATCCCAAATACCTGTAATTGTATCAATCTATTGTTGATAGCTTATAAGTTTATTCACTATCAACACACATACAGAACTTCTCTAAATCAAGAAAAAAAAAATAAGATACACAAAAAAGGATTAGATCATCTATAACCCACAAAAAGAAAAGACCAAACGAATCGCTCAAACATCCAAAAATAGTTACTTTAGATAGCATTTTACCAGACTTCTATAGAACAAAGCATAGCTACCAACCTGAAAACGACGAAAATGTACGATGACTTGGTTCACATAAACCTCAATGGATCTAATTAGACTGCATATAACACAATGTCAAGTAATGATAAACCTCAAACGGCGTACATGTACTAGAAAATGTGAATACTCATTAATGCCTTAAAAAATGAAAACTATAAATGTGGTACAGTGGGAGATTCCTCTTATTGCGCTGGGAGACCGTATATGGTGGCTCTACAACTAATTCGTATGAATGCCACAGCCCAATGTCAATGCTTTTTCAACTTGCAATCTCAAAGTGAACACTAAAGAAGCCGATAACTAGAACGAATCTCCCAAAAAAGAATGTCAACCAAAAATGCATCTAAGCTGAAAGTACGCAAACCTGGTCATCACTCAGAGCCAGTAGAGATAATGGACATTCAAGTCGTACTTTTGCTCGTCATCTACATTGATTTGATTGTGAGCTTAAATCTTGAAGCAGTCTTTGTACAGAATCCTCTAAGTTTTTCACTTGAGGTCCAGGCTTTAAAATGTTGACATCACCCCATCGCGAACAAGGATCCATCCTCCAACTCTTTCGACCAGTGCACCACGCGCCTGGGGTGACTCTATTATGGCTACGTTTAAGGATATTCTGATCAATCATGTCAAGTACCGCCTCGTCGTTATTAAACTGTCTAGCAAATGCAGCTCCACTTTGCGCCATAAGATCGTAATCTGAAGTGTTAAGGAAGAGGGGCTCCATCTTAGGGGGATTATCCCACACCATATATCTCATGTCACTATTAACTGTCGTATTCTTAAACTCCGGTGAATTGCAAACAACGGAATGGAAATAAACTTCTTGTGACAATACTGCATTAGTAAAATACATTAGAAGGGTTCTTGGAAGGTTGTCCCATCCAAAAACACAGAACTCGAGAAATGGTCGGCTCAAGATAACCCAAGGAGAGCCTGTAATTGAATAAATAAGTATATCAATTAGTCATCAATTCAAAAAATAAATACGTAATCTATAAATCCATCAGATAGTAATATGAATGTGAAGAACTCTACCAGTAAAAACTTGGAAAGCCTCAGGCAACGGCCGCTTTTCGGTCGCATAAAAAATTTGCGTCTTCCGTGCTAGGTAAAGCCCTGGATCAACTACAATGGGCTTTATACGTTGACCCCTACAATTCATTAAACGAAAAAAAATTGTTCAAGTTTTTGGACATATATGTAATAAAAAAATTTGAAAACAAGATTTTGCCTACTCTTTCCATCCAAGGTCGCTGGTGTGATCAATGAAATTTAGGTCTCTACTAACAGATGAGAGGACATGAGATAAGTCTGAAAGCAGAGCAGAAACAATGTCGCAGTCAGAAACAATGTCGCAGTCAGAAAAAATGAGCAAGGATGTCAATAAACAGATACTATGCAATCATTATGAAGGCAAGCAGGAGCTAGTATCAAAATTTGTAAACTAGGCAAATTTTCGATTAGACATAGAACTGGTGGTCAATCCTTATCACTCAGCATATATCAGCAGACTATAATGGTCATTTAATTAAGCACAATCGCATGTCCTTTCTTCCTAAATCGCACATTCAAAACCTGTTACTAAAAGACATTATACAATTTTTTAAACCTATTCTACACCCTACTATCCTCCACGACCATCCCATCCCACCAAAAAACGAGGAATTACTCCCTCCGTTCCAATTTATGTGACACACTTTCCTTATTAGTCCGTTTCAAGAAGAATGACACATTTCTATATTTGGAAACAATTAACTTTAGATTTTTCGTTTTACCCTTAATTAGAAGTTTTATAGCCATATGACCTAACAAAGCTTTTACCTTTACGCTTTTAGGACCACAAATTTCAAGTCTTTTTTTCTTAAACTCTGCCGAGTCAGACAACGTCACACAAACTGAAATGGAAGGAGTACTATTTTATCCCCTTCTCATCCAAATAGTTCAGGAAATTTTCAGGAATTTTAATTTTATCCCCTTTTCTTTTAATCAATAGATCAATCAACCGAGCCTCAATCTCAAAGATATTTGGGAATATTCAACTGGGCTTGATTCCTGTTTGCGAAAGTTATGACTTTCTTTTCAGCGATTACACAAGCTCAAAATGAACCATTAGCAAGAACCAATCGAGACTAGTGTTATGCACTTGGCAGGTCTTTTGACATTGAATTATCATCATATAAATAAAGCTACTTTTAGAACTTATGTCTAATTAGTTATTTGGCAAATTACTTTTCTTCACATGCCTTCTACAATTAGGTGCATTACAGATATTTAAATTGACACGAGTGACAAAAACGAAACTTCCATCACAAGATATAGGCCTACCACCAACTTTTAGCAAATAAGGACATGTAAATTTTTACATCCTTCGTTCACCAAAGAGCTAGGGAAAGAAAACAAACTCTAGCTTAGTTTTGATAGCTTTAATATAGGGATAATAGTCAGCAAATAAAGTCAAAATGGCACTGAAACTCTTGCTGCAAATTAACTGGTTTTTCTGAAAATTTATTCAGATTATTACAATTATCTCCTATTGCTTTTTTGAGCCGAGGGTCTCCTGGAAACAGCCTCTCTACCCTTCGGGGTAGGGGTAAGGTCTGCGTACATATTACCCTCCCCAGACCCCACTTGTGGGATTATACTGGGTCGTTGTTGTTGTTGTTGTTGTATTATTACAATTATCGTGTCATCTTATTTTGAGTGAACGGGAGTTGCCAACATCTCATTAGAGGAGCAGAGCAGAACTACCAGCAGGACATGCAAAATCCAACCAAATTATCCTGACTAGTTATTCCAAAGAGAACTAAACCATGAAATATCACAAGAATGAGAACTGTCATATAATTATACGGACACTAATTAATAGATTGTTTCTGACTTTAATCACCACTCCTATACCAGAAAAACACAATGTTCCATGTTGAATAAGCTTGATCCAGAAAGTTAACCACAAACCTAACTTACACTTAGAGACAAATTTCACTACTGGACACTAATCCAGTTGGCAACATAATATAAGTCAATAATACAACAAATTGAGATCCAAAATTCAAAATCTCTATCTTCACACACAGCTCACATCTGAACAACAACAACCCAGTTGAATCCCACAAGTGGAGTCCAGGGAGGGTGGTGTGTACATAGACCTTACCCCTACCCTGAGGTTGTTTCCGATAGACCCTCAGCTCAAAAAAAGAGAAAAGACAGCTCATATCTGAACCTTAAATCAAAATTCAAACCCCACAAACAGCTCCTATATGGAAACTTATCTCATCCATAAAGACAAAAAATTGAAGCTTTAAGCAAAATTATAAGTCTCAAAATTCAAAAACCCGCGAACCTTTTCAGCAATAATGAGCTTCTACTTTATCAATTAGTCAAAAATAAACACAATTATGAACAAAACAATAACCAATTAAGCTGGAGCAAAAACTGAAATAGCTATACATACCATCTTGAGTAATCAAAGGATAATCAGAGGCACTTAGATTAACAAACCAATCCCATCCACCATCCATCTTCAACAAAATCGCGACCGCCCTAAGCATTGCTGCTATATTAGTTGAACCCATATAAGTAACTGGATCAGGCTTTCCAACTACATCTACATTCCCAAAAGCCTGAATTACAGGCACAGATTTCACTAACATCCCGAGCTTTCGCCTTTCCTCTTCACTCCCATCTAGACCAATGTGCAACAAGTACCTATTCCTAGGATGATACACAGCTAATAAAAGCCTAAAAATCCTATCACTATCACCTCTTCCACCTGAAATATAGTATCCAAAGGCCGGGGGATGACCCGGCCCGTGATGCACAGGAGTAGCAAATCTCCTGTGCAATGAAAATGCATAATAAGATGAGCTAAAACCTGAAATTGACGACAAGAATATGAGAAATGATACAAAGGCTGCACAAAACAGTGCATATAGCCATTTTTTCTCAGCTCCCATCTTATAGCATGAGGAAAAAAAATTGGAAAATTTTCAAGATTGAAACTTTTTCCAAAATTCTGATCTGGGGTTGGATTTTTTTGTGAAAAAAACGATTTCTTGGTATTATTGGGTTTATGAATCTTTAGATAAAAATGGGTTCTTTTGAGATCCCCTTAAGAAATAGTAATAAATTTCCTCAAAATCAAGAATTTTATCTCAAAAAAAATGAGTTTTTTGAGATCTTTGATACAGTGAAAATATTTCACTCAAATCAAGAAACTTTTCTGACAAATTCACTGTCAAAATGGTATATATCATGAAAAAAATTACTCTCAAGAGTATTTTTCTGATATGGAAAAAACTGGAAATTGTGGAAATTTTCCTGATTTAGGATTAGGGTTTGAAGCAGGTGGGTATATAAGTTTAAAAAGAAGAAGAGAAACAAAGAAAAGAGTAAGATCAGAAATGGAAGCAAAGTTTCTTCTTTTTAATTATTCCTATTTTAATCTATTTAACTATACAAATAAAAATAGTACTATTTGTAATAGAGGATTTGATTGTATTACTCGCAGATAAGAGCGTGAGAACACGGTAAGGAGGATTGGATAGAGCTGTGTGAATGACGTGCTTAAGTAGCGCGTTCGAGTGTGATGAATCTGAGACATATTCTATTATTGTCACAGGTAAATTTATTCATCTGCTTTTCTTGTCTTGGTTTTTGTTAGAACTTTGGGAGTTGGAGCTTAAAATAAACTTTATATTTTTTTTTAATTATAAATAAATTGGAATTCTCACTGCCTAACATCGAGTGGTATGATAAGATATTTGGCATTTCATCAATTTTAATTAGACATTTTCGGGTTCGGTTGGAAACAAGTTATCACGTAATTAATTATATCGAGATTAGTTATCTCATCCTCTCGTGAGAATAAAAAAATAATACAATCCTGAGATAATTAATCTCGGGATTAATCATACCACCATTTTATTCCAACCAAACATACGATAAACTCATCTCAAATCTAATCTCGGGATTAATTATCTCTTATCCCTCGTACCAAACGATTCGGATTTCAATAGATGATTTCTTGATATAGAATATCTTGCCCCCTTAGGGGTCGATTGGTTGGGAAATAAGTTATCCCATATTAATTATCCCGGGATTAGTTATTCCACCCTTCCACATGGATAAAAAATACTACAATCTCAGGATTAATTATACCATGATTTTATCCTAATCAAACGCGAGATAAACTCATCTCAAATTCTAATCATGGAATTAATCTCAAATTTAATCTCGGGATTAATTATCTCTTATCCCTCGTACCAAACGAGCCCGTCGAATTTCAATAGATGATTTCTTGATACAGAATATCCTACCCCTTAGGGATCGATTGGTTGAGAAACAAGTGATCCAATATTAATTATATCGGGATTAGTTATTCAACTCTCCCATATGGATAAAAAACACTACAATCTCGGGATTAATTATACCACAATTTTATTTCAACCAAACACGAGATAAACTTATCTCAAATTCTAATCCTGGAATTAATTATTTTTTATCCCTCATACCAAACGAGCCCTTAGTTACCTTAACAGGTTTGCTTGGTGTCTGATCAGTGAGTTATGAATATCGAATGCTTAAATAAAAATAAATTCAAAAAAATATTGATTGTTCCCCCTTTTTCTTTTTTGGTAAACACCATTATCGAAGGAGGAATAGTGAGAAATTTGGAATTTTTACAAATGATACTATCCTTTTACTATTATTAAGAGTGATTCAATCTTAACAATTTTGGGAAATAGTGTATGGACCAAAAAGAAAGAAAAAAAAAACAGATTTTAATTTGCTTGACTAATCAAATTAGTTTATGACATTGAAACATTTATAACCTTGAATGGGATCACCTAACATGAATTATCAAAGTAATGTATTTAATGTCATATTCTATTTTTTATGATTGGTTTGATTTATTATGTTCATATGAGAACGTCAATATATTTAGTATATTTCTTAATCATTTTTTTTCTGTTGACGGAACATCTTAAAATTCTTCTTAGTTAGTGAAATTTGTATTTATGATATGTATTGTTAATGATTTAAAGTCTATCTCAATGCCATGAATGGATAATAATAAGATCGATGTCATGACAGTATTTTTCAATTAATGTTATTCATCATTTTCTTTTCGTAAAAATAATACTTAAAACCTTTTCTATTATTAACACGACAAATATCTTTTGTAAATTGTATACAGTAATATCAAATGTAATCCAATTAATTTTTTAGCATTTATACTTTAAGATAGAATAGCGTTTCCTAGACTTATGTGTTTGTATTTGGTATGACATAAGTTATTGTTTTGATAAATATATTTAAAAATTATTTATTTATTGAAAAACAATTTTTAAAAAATGCATATCGGTGTACAACATGGTGTCAAAAGCATATGTAGAAAACTTGGGTTTGTATTTTACCGCTAATCTGTCACCCATTAATAAAAAAGAATTTTACGTGCTTGATCATGATGAGATGATCGAACATGCTGTAACAACTTTTCACTTTTTAGTAAAAAATATTTTTTCTAAAACTAATTTTTGGTAATCAAATAACAGAAAATTACGACTAAATTTTCCATCATAACGAAACACATATAATATATCTTTCATTTTTTCCTCAACGATATTCATTTTTTTTTGTAAAATACGAGTCAAGAATATTCTGTAGTTCTTATTAAATCGTCAAGATTCTTAATTAACTTGTAACTTGAATGGATGAGCTAAAATAATTATTGAATAATTAAATAATTAATCTTCTCTAGTGGTACCATGTGCCTAAATTTAGCCCCCCAATAACTTCAAGTTAGGTTTACGAAAAGGATGGGATTTATGTTCCTAGCATAGTACGAATTTCCAATATTATATACAATTATATTTACTGATCCAAGCTAATATTTTTAGAGTTCGTGAAGTTTAAGAAATGTGGGAATTATTATTAATTAATTTAGAAAGTCAAAGAGGCATTTGCTTGAACAATTTCACAAACATAGTTTGCCAAAAAAATTGAGTGTTTATGTTATCTGTTTAAGCTGCTTTTCTATTAAAAATAAATAAATAAATAACTTTGACCTTTTCAAACTTAATTTTAAAAATGTTTCAATAATTAATTTACAAAAATTTTAAAAAATGAAAACAAGCAAATTTTAAAATAATGAAAAATTGGTAATAAAAAGTAGAAAGAGGATAAAAGAAACCGATCGAGTTGATATTATTATAAATTAGTTTTTGGCTGAAGTAAAGTTATGGATTGCCTTTGCCATATTTCGAAAAAGTAAAGACAATAAATGTAAGGCTTTGACTAACGAAGGGAGTCATAGATTACCTAACAATATGGAAAAAAATTAAAGTCTTCCACCATATTGTCAAAATTAGGAAGAAAAAGAAAAGAAGAACAATAAAGAATTCCTCGGTATATGAGCATCTCTTTTATATTATCTTTTACTCGTCTCTTATAAAATAATGAGTAGTATTTAAAATAAAAATTTTATGTGCAAAACATTATGAATTAACTTAACCACTTAACTTTTTGGATTTGAAAAATAATATTTTCATAGTCATTTGGATGAGACAATGAATTCTCTGGATCTTAAATTGACGGCCACATATACGACGAAGCAATGAATTTCCTCAAGGGTGTTCAAATTTAAAAGAAGTGAAAAAAAAATTTCGACAAAAGGTGTTCAATATGTGTTATATACCTATAAAACGTAATAATTTACCTATACATACAGTGTAATTTTTCGACGAATGGTAGTCAGTTGACCACCCTTACAAGCATGTGGATTCGCCCGTGATTGCATGTATTATTAAAACATTAAAATTGATATGTTGAACTATTAGTCTTTCCTAGAAATAAAAACGTTACTTAAAAATGGACATCGATTATTCGATTGAATTATAGATAAATCAATTTCAGTTTAAACTAAAAAGCAAGTTTAAATCAAAACAAATCTTGATTTTAAAACTTTCAATCACTGCATAAACCTTGTTATCTTCTTAGATTTTTTATTTTGGTTTTGTTGTCATATTTTGTTTGTTTTTTTAGTGTAACAATCTGGCCGGTCGTTTTGAGTATTTTAGCCATGTTCCCATATTTATTGCCTCGTCTATGTTATACTGTGATTATGTGACTTTGCTGGGTAGTTGGTTTGGTTTCGGGTGAGGTTCAAAATGAAATGGGACACTTAGTCCCAAAGTTGGAAGCTTAAGTTGAAAGAGTTGACCGGAGTTTGACTTTTGTGTAGATGATTCCAGAATGGAGTTTTGACGGTTCGATAGCTTTGTATGGTGATTTTGGACTTAGAAGCGTGCTCGGATATTGATTTGGAGGTCCCTAGGTCGTTTTGGCTTGGATTGGTGAAAGTCAGAAAGTTGAAAGTTTGAAAATTGAGAAGTTTGACCGAGAGTTGACTTTATTGATATCGCAGTCGGATTCCTATTCCGGTAATTGAAACAAGTATGTTGTGTCATTTATGGCTTGTTTGCAAAATTTGAGGTCAATCAGAGTTGGTTTGATATGAATCGGCGTTAGTTTTGAAAGTTGGATGTTCATGGTTTCAATAGGTTTGAATTGGGTTGCGATTATAGAATCAATGTTGTTTGATGTGTTTTAGGCCTCGAGTAGGTTCGCTATGTGTTTTGGAACTTGATGGTATGTTCGGACAGGGTCCCGGGGCACCAAATGTAAATCAAATTGAAATCGGTTTCATTTTGGACTTAGTTGATTGCTGAAGGCTGCTGAAGTTCTGGTGTCATCGCACCTGCGATGGGCTTACCGCAGGTGCGGACATGCAAGTGTGATTGGATTATCACATAAACTAATTTTGAGTAGGCTGGGGAGGATCGCAAGTGCGGTCAAGCTTGCGCAGAAGCGAGCCATTGAATGCATAAGCGGGTGGTGACCGTAGAAGCAAAAAGTTCTGGCTTAATGAGAAGCCGCACCTCTGATTGGATTTTTCGCAGGTGCGAAGCCCAGAAGCGGCTCTTGGTTCACATATGTAGAATCACTAGACTAATAAGGGGCAGATCGAGGGTTTGTTCCCATTTTTCATCTTTTGAGTTAGACACCTCGGTTTTGGGCGATTTTGAGAGAGATTTTCAACAAGTTGATCGGGCTAAGTGATTTTAACTCGGATTTGACTATTATACATCAATCCATCATTGTTTTTATCATTTAATTAGTGTTTTGAGTTGGAAAAATTGAAAAAATTTGTAAAAACTTCATAAGCTATATTTTGAGGATTTGAAGGTCGATTTGAGGTCAGAATTGAATAATTTTAGTATTGTTGGGCTCGTTATTGAATGGGTGTTCGGATTTTGTAAGCTTTGGTCGGATTCCGAGACACAGGCCTGGGGTTAACTTTTTGAGTTGACCTTTTAATTTTCTTTAAAGATTGCAACTT